TAAAATTTAAAAGTATTATATCAAATTTTATTAATAACGTAATTTCATTAGAAATGTAATTTGAGATAATTAATTTAATAATTCACATTACAAATATATGTTTATATTTTTTATTGATTTATATATTATTCCTTAATGTTTCACGACATTTTGTACATTGCATTTTGCGATTCAATAATATTTCCTCGACAATATAAAAAGAGAAATCAAGATATCCCGCTACATCCCTGGGACAATGACACAAAGAAATGGTACGCGGAGAGAAGAAACGAGTGAAAGAGAAAGATGGCAGTTTCAGAGTGTGGTCGACAGAGAATACGTGACTATGCAACGCCACGAAGAAGATGCTCGGTTCTAGCAAGCCGGGATACAACGCGATGCAAGCTATCGTCGATGTGCAACTCGGCTACAAAGTAAACGCAAACTGATAGTATGGAAAAGCCGCCATTACATACGCGCGCGCTAATAATTATCGTTGCGGATCGAAGGGAGAGGATTAATTTGCGAGTGTGAAATCGCGTTGGCGACGGTCATTCAATTCGTTGTGTAATTCCTGTTACAACACTTTCTCTCTCTTTCTCGATGTGGCACATTGTGCCCCGTGTTGTTCGTGACATTGCAGAATCTTATGCGGGCTTCTATGTTCCGCAGCAAATTTTCCATTCTGCTGTCAATCACTTCTGATGAAACGAATCAAAATGTGAAAAACGGAAATTTATCATTGGATTAATAAATAAATAAATAAAAGAATTATGCAAAATTGTTTTTAATTATTTACCGCCAAAAAAAATGAAAAAAATCAACAAATAATAAGCTTCCATTAAAATGTAGTATACACGAGCATCAGGCAGAACCATATCTTTAATAGAGCTGCAATATTTTTGAGAAAAAGTGTATCTTTGTTAATTGTTCATTTAAGTACACAGAGCTATTTACGTATAAACGAGGCTGAAGGATTACAGCGTCTACTATGCGCTCATAAATTAGCCGCAAGTGGGTAAATTTTTGTAGAATAAAACCATCATGCCGCATAAGCCACTTAGCGCGAAACGGAAGAACTCTACGGCATTTAGGCGGGATAATGTTGCATCGCTTTACTGAAAGATAGATGAAGATTGGTCGGCGAGACGTGGGAAAGAAGTGAGAATTAAGAGTGGAGATTGGCTGCAGAACACAGATGTGTTAATGCTATGAAATAACTCTAAAAATAACTTTAAGAAGTTAGTACCTAATATTATTTGTCAACATTTCTTCTTCAATGTTTTTTAACATTGAAAAAAAATCGTAACGTTTATTATTAGATACTTAATTAATTTATAAGGAAAATGCCATTTATGTAAAAAAAAAAAGAAAGCTAAAAACACAAGAATCCAAAATAAAAGCTTTTGAATGATTATTCTAGATAATATTAATTTTTTTTATAAAATAGAAGAAAATATGACTTTTGTCTAACCTTTTCTATTATATCTTTAATTAATCGCCAGAAGAAAATTAATATTAAAATACAAAAATTCAAAAACTTTACAAAGTAGATTAATAACACTATCAAGCTTATCAAATTTTAACTATATTGATTTTGTCAAAATCCATCAGCCATTTTAACAAAGTAAAGTGGCTTTGATAAATTTTTTAGAATTGCAATGAACAATAGAACAATTTAATAAACAAGATCATATTCAACATAGTTAAAAACTATGGAAAATGATTACTTTCATTTTTGTATGCAAAAAAAATAATTTTTTTGTTAACAGTTTTTTAAATTAATTACCACAGACAGTTATAAGGAATATATATTGGTTTAGCAAAATATCGCCATGTAGATCATTATGTGGCGGTTTCTACTGATTATTCGTAGATTTTCGCAATTGGATACGCATTGAGACCGAAGCAAATCGTGGATATCAATAATATACTAGATATGGACTCGCAATTGGATACGCATTGAAACCGAAGCAAAAATACACACAATCATGGATATCAATAATATACTAGATATGGACCACGTCGGCGTGGACGCTGAGGTAGATCCTCGCAAAAAGCGAGCGCTTAATTTCCGCGGGGGTGCGCTTAATGAATAGCGGGAATCCCTCGAGATTGTTAACCGGGAAGGCAATTTCCGCAAAAGTCACGCGACTCCGCCAACCGGTCGGGCGGATTGTACGTCGGCGGACGACGTGCGAGCGAGAATAAGCAATCGCGAAATGCTCAGGATAGACAAAACGACATAACGCGTTTAATGACATGGGCGGAACGCGAAGGAAGCGGCTTTAAGGGAGCTTTAAGTGGAAATTGATTTGCCTAGGCGCGTGAACGTGCGGTGAGTTCCAACGTTTCCAAGCCGAGGAGTACGGTATCACCTCGCACGTCGGTCAACGATCCGACGAATAGGCGGCCATATACGATGATCCGACCATGATCTTTACATGCCTGCCTTGTAGGGGTTGTAAGACCGTTAATAGCGCGCTATACGATGACACGCGCGCTGAAAGAATCCGAGATGGAAGGAACTCGACGCGATACTACGAACGTATATACATCGTGCCGGCTTCGTAGTTGGTACGCCACGTTAATTACCGGTGGTAATTAACGAAGCAATGCCTTACATGCCTGGATCACGTAGTTATTCTCGTTCATCACTTCGAAGGATTGAAGAAAATGATGTTGGCGTTGCAACGAAAATTCTCTAGTTCTCTCTCTCATACACACACACACACACACACACACACACACACACACACGCGCGCGCGCGCGCGCGCGCGCGCAAAAACACACACAAGAAATATGATTATAGTATATATACTTATTATAAATTTGTTAAATTGTTCAGGTTTACAAAGATTATAAGCTTTTTCATTAATGATTATTATTTTTAATATTATAATAATAAACTCAATTTAATAGACTCAATTATATACTTTTTAATTTTTAAAATTTTACATGTTTCTGTAATATATGAAAATGTCAAAAATTCTATAATATATATGAAATGTGAAATTTCTGTAATATATATGAAAAAATCAAATATGTTATTCAGCAAAGTGTTATTGTAATAATGCTCTCTAACGATTTTATGAAATATAATTAATAATGTTGATATTACAATGTAATAGTGGAAGGTCTCTGTTTTAACCATCACCAATTATTTCAAGTTTCCAGTATGTTCCGTAGCTGACGCTACGTGCTAACTCACATGCTCTTGTACCGATCCTAATGTCGATAAAGTTGAATTCTGTATCAGAATATAGTTTCTTCAGCTTTATTCAACATTTGATATCGTAAATGTTCTACATCCTTTTCACTAATATTTAAGCCAAAAACATATATTTTTTCTATATTAATATGAAATTTAATAAAATATACTTTTTTATACAAAGAGAAAGAAAGTCTGGGAAATACTCGCAAAATATTTATTTTTAATATGTTTGTAAAATCGATTAGATATTCATTTCCTATAAGATTTTTATTATTTTAATAAACTTTAATAAATTTTGCGTACAGATATTATAAATGCCTTTCACTGAAATCATTTATCTTCCACATCGAATGTCACCGCAGCAAAGTGAGCGGAAAAAATCTAATTTGGTTCACTCGGCAAACAATTAAATTTTTACGATGCAAACGAGAAAAAGCCAGGAAAATAAAAAGGCATCAGTTCCTGTCATCAGTATCTGTCGCAAATTTCATTCTGTCGCTGTTTCGAGTAACGTATTATACAACATGAAAAGCAAGAAGTGAGAGCTCGAAAGGAAAAAAGATATCAATTACATAGATGTATAATTTAAATCGTTTGTTCATACCATGTTTCATAAAAAATATCCAGCAAATATAAATCTTAAATATTACAAAATTATTTTTGGTATGTTTTAAATAAGTGTATAATTGTATCGAGGACACTTTTTCGCTTAAAAATGAACTAAAATTATATACAAAATATTAACAGTTAATATCTTTTATACAACAGTATTGTTCGTTGATTAGCAAATTAGTACAATGGTTATTATGTAAGAGAAAAAAAGTGCCAAGGCGTTTGTGTACTCAATTGATTGCTTAACGAATTCATTCCGTCATTATCTTTGCGCCTACGAGATTCCGACCTTGCAATCGATTTATCTTTGGTATGTCTGCGTATACTTAATAATGCGTATACTTAATAATGTGCAATAAAAAGACACGGCAATGAATCAGAGATGGACAATGCTTATTATCATTACACTTTCGCCTGACCGCTCAACGTTTCCCTTCCATCATCATAACTGACATCATTTTTCATCAGACCATAATTGCATAACATAAGATAACTTGACCACGATATTACTCGCAAAATAAATCAAGAATTTTCTTTAGCAATTTAATACTTATTAATTATTTTATCAAATATATTTTATCAAATCTCACTTGTTATATTTCTTATCGTTATAAGTTTACTTATTAATGTAAAATTTTTGTTGCTAATTGCAGATTTCAAATCGACATTTTTGCGGACGCATCATCGTAACATTTACTTGAATTAACATTATTATCGCTCATTTGTTCGTTCGAGCATTTATATTTAAAACATCCTCTTTTTTTTTCAAGGCAAAGTCACTACGAAGACAAAGAGACGAATATTTTCTGACGTTGCATGTATGTAACCGCTATTGTGAACGATAGATCATTGTCACTTCACATTCAACGAGCGGTATTGTTCTCCATACAGAAATTACAGAGGCGATAAGTGTAGGTTGCACACACTAAAGGAGAATTTACGCGAGCAAGTAGGATGTTAAGAGTTTGAATATCGATTGACTTGCTTAATCAGTATTAAAATATTAATGAGAAGAAAAACGCATTTAGTACAATAGAAGTCTTTAACTTCGTTTCCAACTTTGGTACATAATACTTTTTGGATCAATATTTTAATTAAATTAAATTTAATTACAAATTCTTTTACAAAGCTAAAAAGAGGCAAATGATAAAAAGTAAGATGTAACGGGAAAAACACGCTATCGCCCGACACTCACCTCGGACATTGCGGTCTCGTTCTAGTCGAGCAGTTCTAGGTAAGGATCTGCTTTTAGACTCACCTGCAAACAGAAAATGAGGATGTTTGTATTATTTGAGTTGTTACACATTTGAGACACATTTAAAAATCACAATGATCTTGATTACCAATTCAATCAGTAATAAAAAATAATTTCATCATTAACGGTCAATTCTTAATCGTTATTTTTGTACCTTTCTGTAATAAAAAAAATTTTATTTTATTATTTATATTATTTATTTTTCATTTATTTATTTTATATTATTTATTTATTTATTTATTTTTTTAATTTTACAGTATTTATTTTACATTGTATGTCATGTACTTAATTTTCCTCGTCAAAAGCGAGCCCATCAAAATATATTAAACGATGCGTATTGATAAATTGAAAAAAAATATTCGCAAAAACTCTTATGATGGATCTTGTAACGATACTTTTCTCTCTTGATACGGCATCCGTGTATCCAGCGACCCTATTCGCGACGAAAGAGTAGCCCAGAAGCGTCGACTGCACGCATCCGCGATCACGGAACCAGAAGTCTGGCGCGTTCTACCGCGCGCCGGTTCTGTTATGCGGCTCCGTTCCGCGGCTTTTTCGCGGGGACAACTTTTTCACGGCACGTCGCACGGCCGTAATGGACGCCCCGACCGCATCCGAGTGAGCACGCTCCAATTCTCGAGTAGTCCCGACCGCGCTAAGTGCGGCAAGTGAGACGTCGCATTCGCGCACGCGCATGCGCGCGCGCGCGCGCGAGTAGACACTTTCGTCTAATTGCACGCGCCAAGCGGTCGCGCTAATTACAGACCGCGTCTCTTTTTCGCTTCTCCGCGACATCGAGTGCATGTCTCTAGAAGGAGCTATATATATATATATATATATATATATATGACGAGACCTCGTTGAATCCTATTAGACTAGATATTTCTTTCGAGCGTGATGTTCAATTAAAACGCAAAATCTTTATGAAAATCGATAAGTCGGAGTTAAAAGAGTAAACGTGTAGGGTAAAAAGATTGAGGAATCTTACAGTATAATGTGTGATTACAGAAGGTTCGATAAAAATTGTATTGAACCGCTTTAAAAAAAAAAAATCTACGCTCAACGCTATTATGATATTAAGAATGACTTGAGAAAAATTTTGAACAAAATTTTGCATTTTACCAAGAATATTACACATAAAAAAAGGCTATGTAAAATTAATATAAAAAAATAATTTTTTCAGAATAAAGATTAAAATAATACTATTAATAATTAACATATTTCATATTTTCGTCAATTTTTCAAACTTTTTAATTATTATATTTTATTATTATTATTATTATTATTATTATATTTTACGTGTCTATTGACATCGCAATTTATTGAGAAAATCTTTCTACAAAATGATGGGCGTTGCGAAATTATTATCATACACCATATCATGTATTGCGCTGTTATAGATATTGTTATAAATACGATAAAACAATGTCGCGCATTTCGAGTGTAACGAGACAGCTGACAATTTAGTCTTCCTCAGTCTATGAGGAACTCTTGACTAATTACTTACCGTCTTTCTTTTCCAGAGCGGTTATGGCGAGGCTTGTATGACAATAGCAAAATACATGAGATGCGCACAAATATTACAACTGCGTCTAATGAAACCGCAAATGTGAATTGCGTCTTCAAAGAAACTTTGAAGACACATCCGTGTTGATGCGGTTAGAGTCGACACGATTAGATATGTAAAAATAATGCCAACCGCTATGATTTAATAGCGAGATAAGAAAACCAAGAGAAATGATTTTAATAGAAGATACGGTATATTTTAAAGCAAAAGCGTAAAATAGTGTATCCTACGATAAGGATAATTTTTGCTACAATTTTACCACTCGCGATAATTACTAGGTGCGACGATAATTGCGGAGTATCGCGACACTCACGTTAATGATAATTATCTCGCATCTCGAAAAGAGAAAAATCATGTAGCAATTCTGGTTTATACAAATTGCGCGAGATTTCGAGAAAATCATGGCCCCATGAAGATTCGATCGTGCGCATATCCTGCTTCTGCTAGCGCTTTCGAAAGTAGCAGAATCAGTTTTCGCTTATTGTAAATGGAATACTTCGGCGTTGAAAAAGAAGTGGGCATAACGTTTCTTGCTTTCTTGCGAATCGCAGCGGATGATTGATCGTCCGCCGTCGATGGGACACGTAACCGTCATCCAAACCAGATTTACAACGTTATCTATGGTGCGCGAGCGAGTGGATTTTAATTTCATCCGGACCGTCCGCCGCTAATGGTTCGCTAGGTACATAGAACTTGGAATACTAAGTCATAAATTTATTCGCGTCGACGCAAATAAATTTACTCTCGGGACTCTTTTCGCGCGACTTCTTTGCCATCTCGACCTCGCGTAACAAGTTCCTTTTGCGGGGAAAGTACAGGCAAGGTGGAATCATCTCTTTATTAACGTTTCGTTAGACGTCCGTTCCCCAGTTCTAGCACTAGTTATTTATTATCTGTTTGATATCCAATTACGTTCTAGATTTGCGAGGAAAATTCTATATCATGTGAAAGTTCCGGCTTTCCTAAAAAAAAAAAAAATTAATATAGATATAATAAAAAGAAATATTCGGAAGCAGAATATATTAATAAAGAAAATAAAATTAATGATGATGTGTTATAAAGATAAAGGTATGCCGCATATTAATGACAAAATATTATATGTAAAATATTATATGTAAATATATACAAATGTATCAACAAAATATGTCAAATATATTTATGTATCCTATGTAAAATTATAACTTACATAAATTTAATTTTATTGACCCAATAATTTGCTGTTTAATTAATAAATATATAAACAATATATAATCATATAAAAATATAAACATTTACATTTTCGTTCCAGAAGAAAATATCGCTATTATTAATTAATTTTGCGTAACCACGTAATTACGTAAACCGTTAGAAGACTTAGTCATCGTAGTTACAATCGCCAGAGTAATTGCAATGGCAATGATGCATTTGAGTCAATCGTTTAATTGTTTTTTTTACACGGATAAATACGCGGATGTGTTTTTTTTTTCCCTGAAAGTGTGAAATCAAGAATAAAATATATCAAAACTTTGGTTGAATTGGATCCTTCTGGAATTTCCAATTTTTTTCGATTCGGGTTGGGCTGTTGCAATTACATAGGAGGGGAGAGAGGTCCGGATGATAAAGTTACACGTTTCGTGCAAGCCGGGAAATATGATCGAGAAGAACCGGTCGGCCTGACAGGGGATACGTATATCCGCAGTTTCGATTTCTCTCCGGCGTGAATTCGAATGCCACTTTACGATCGTCTTTACAACCGTTTGCGCGAGTAAAAGCGAAACGCGAAGGCGCTTGTGCAACTTCTTTTTACGGTGGTTACTCGCGTAATCGTTGTTCACGCCAAGAGGAGCGCGTCAAAGATTTGGACGTCGTGGAGCACGTCTTACTCCGACGAGTAATTGCCGAGTAATTACAGCGCCGGGCTTATATAATTAACGTCATGATGATTTGATCGACATTTATACGCACTTCGTACAATGACTTTACTTCTCTATGACTTTTCCGGATAACGTATGTAATGTTATTTCGATTACGAGACATTCGTTGAGGATCCTCAAAAAAATTTCATTAAATTGTAAATTAGAGATGTATCGATCTTTTTCCTTTTACTTGCTACGTAGAAGACGTTATTTACGTTTTTATTTGTAGTTACGTCGAGACTCTCTCTCGTACAATTGCACAGATAGCATGTATGCAATTATTCGAGCCTATATAATGAGCGGTTAACGAGTTAAAAAGAAGAAAAACGGACAGAGAGAACAGAGCTACGTGTGAAATGAGCCATTGAAATTGGCTTTCTGCGTGTTTATTCAATTCACTAACGCCATAAAGCTTATATTAATGTATTTACAATTCGCCAAAGGGAAATAAGATTACTCGTATAATTTGGATTCCTATCTCTAAAATAATAAAAACGCACAAATGCGTTTTCTACTTAACATTTTCAAGCTTCTTACTTTGCATATTTTCCTTTCAAATTATATTATCGTTCTAGTTATTCCATCATTAACCGATCTTTGTATGTCTTTTTCTCGTCTCTTTTTTCATTCACAAAACACAACACTCGTCAATACATGATTAATTAATCAAAATAGAATAATAAAAGAGGATGTGATATTTTTTACAATGATTAAAAATTGCAGTTTGCTATATTCGTATGAAATTCATAAACAACAATATGAAAGGGCAAATTCAACTTTGCATTCGTTGTTTTTTCGCTTCGATTCAGCAGCAGTTTTTGACGATCTCAAAGAACGAATCAGTCAATTTACGTTGGTCATAGTACGTAGAGTACATAGAGTTGCACCGTATAAAAGAATTGAACCGTGAAAGATGAACCGTGAATCAAAATGATATGGATAGCTTTCACTGACAAATAACAAATCCCCTGCAAATCTCCTGGAAATTGCGAATTGGGAATCACGAATCGTGCGAATCGCACATAGTTGTGACGTTGTTAGCTTAACACTTGTTGTGGCGCTTTAAAGAGTAATGGCGACATGTGGAGCAGCATGCGCGGTTACTGGAGTCCTGTCGCGTGAATGACAAGCACGTGGCAGCAGCACGTGGCCTTGCGACAATGCGTGTTAACACAAACAAATGCGAAGGCCAATGCGCAAGCTAGTTTAGAGCGGTGTCATGAAATATTTAACAAATGTGAAATATAAAATACGTCGGAAATATTCTATTTCTTATATTTTAACCCTCAAGTACTGAGGGGTTGGTCCGTGGGACCACGCGGAAATAAAGACAAGACGCTACATCTGTCTCATTTTCGCTTTCGATAGGTGCTTCATGTTATGTAACTTTCGTAAAACACAGATTTATAAAACTCCCGTGTTTTTATTCCAGTTTTTTTGAATCCCAAGGACCAATCTCGGTAAAAGTGTCACTATTTTTTACCTCAGTAGTTGCCAAAAATTAAATTAATTTGATTCG